CCTTCCACATCTCCACCCCTCCTCCTCACTGACCTGCATCAAGACTCCCTGCGCAAAGCGCAGCACCACAAACATGACGTAGTTCACGGAGAACGCGGTGGCCACGCCCAGAACCACCGACATGTACAGTGTCCCCAGCAGCACGGGCAGCCGGCCCAGGCGGTCAGCCAGGTCCCCAAACACAAGGCCGCCCAGCATCACGCCCGCGAAGTAGATGGTGGTGGCCAGGCTGGACAGATCCTTGTTGGAGCACACCAGGTCAAACTGGGAGAGGAGACAGCGCAAAGAGTTCAGGCAGGAAAGTTTTAGTTTTAGTAGAGTTTTTACGGCGCTCGCAACTGCATAATGTCATACGAGCGCCAACCGGTGGATGTCTACAGAGAAGTCTTTACAGGGAATCAGGCTTACTCTGCTCGCCTCTTTAGCTTCAACAGCATAAAGTCTGTTTCGATTTTCAAAGAATCCCGGAAATAGAGGGTCACAAGAGTGTGATAAACATACAAAAGAAATGGAGGAAAAATGACGATAGTAAGGATTAGGAAAGAAAAAGCAGCAGTTCTGCATATGCAGTTCAGCAACAGTTACAAACATGACAATGAATCAGCTCATTTAGAATTCTAATGTGCATAAGAACAGGTTAATGTCCCCCCTTTGGGAATGGCCTAAAAACACTTCAGTCAGTAGCACTGCCCGGGGGGGGGGTGTTCAAACGGGGAGGGAAGACTATGCAGAGATTTTGTTGTGCTCATATGACCTTAGCCTTATGAAGTTACAAGCGGCATAAGACTTTAACTATTAGGGGGAAAAAGAGTTAATTTTATTATAAGAGGCAGAAACAGAGGCAGACATTTGTGAAACGTGCTGATAAAATGAGTTACTTCTCGGATTTGAATTCTATGGAAATAGATACACCATGCTTACAGGTGAAGTTCTTACAATTTATAAGTATGAAATAATAAGAGACAGGTTATATCTAAAGAATATGGCATGAATAGGAAATCTACAAATTTGACCCTCGTGTCAATTTTTGGCCAATATCTCCATTTGTGGATTGCGGGAAGTAACTCATTTTGTCAGCTCGCCTCACATTTCAAGATTTCAAGATGATAATTTTATTGATTTGAAAGGACTTAAGTTTTTTCGTTTCAGTAAGAGTTTTGCAACACTTGCAACACAACAAAACTTTGGCCCGTCCATACATCCACATATAATAACATATGACTCGGCAAATACATGAATAGGTGCTAGAGGCAGAGAGAAAGAAAGTGAGAGAGAGAGAGAGAGAGAGAGAGAGAGAGAGAGAGAGAGAGAGAATATAATATCTAAAAATGGGCATTAATATCTTAATGGTTCCAGTTTATTCTTCTTCTTATTGTCTCTTAAACTTTGTTTCATTTTAGGTTTTGTTAGAGTTTTACAACACTTGCAACACAATAACGGCATATTAGTGCCAAAGTTTAGACGTGTTACTAGAGAGTAACAAGCACAAAAAAGAAGGAGGAGAGATAAGGATGATAAGATGTTCAATAGGAGAGAAGGGGCAAACCATACAGAACACCTGCCAACCACCCACATGCACAGAGTGAGTGGGTGGTTGTTGGATGCCCTAGTGTAGTTTGCTATTTCTTTCTTAGAAAACTTCTATCACCATTATCTCTCCTCCCTTTTTAAATGTACTACTTTCTTGTAACACCTCTAATCTTCAGCACTCATATGCCCCAATTATGTTGCAAATGTGGTAAAACTCTCACATCATAAACTAAAGAAAAAGTTAAACACAATAAGCATGAAAACAATCTTGAATCATTTAGACATAATCAATGCCCATCTTTAAACATATTCCCTCTCTCACTCTCTACCTTTATTTTTCTCTCTCTCTCTCTCTTTGCCTGTCTTTTTCTCCGTCAAACATACATATACAAAACACCCCTCTCCTTCATCGCTTGCAAGCGCAGGCATTGATTTCTCTTTTTTGATCTCCTGTCCCTATTTCAATAATAATAATAATAATAATAATAATAATAATAATAATAATAATAGATTGAATTTATATAGCGTTCTATCCCATACTAGTATAAGCCTTGAGCGCTTTACACCAATCACAGAATCATTCACACAAGAAAAAATATTTCATAGATATTTTGATGTAGATATGTGTGAGTTATGTAAAAAAAGTGCCAACATGGTACACATTGTTATGCTCCAAAAAAAACAACAACAACAACAAAGAAATAAGAGAGGAAAAAAAAACGAGGAAAAAAAGAAATGAAACCCTTGAAACACTTCTCTTGCCGCAGCTGTCGCGTTTCACTTTATATGTTTTGTGTGTTTTTGTGGGGTTTTAAAAAACCCAAAAAAAACTGATGGAAAGGAGATTCCATACAATGGTAGCACTTTTCATGTAACCTTTTGACATGCGAAAATTACCATTTCAAATGTGAATAAGTGCAGAAATAAATTAATGTAACATTGCAGTTGCAAGTGGAAATATGTAACAAGACTGTCATTGAAAAGGGTTCTTATTGTATCTAAGTTACAAATATTCACTGCAGTAAAATTTATTAAATATAACTAAAGATAGTACATAACGAGATAGGCCACTCAGCCAAAAAAGTGTCCGCCGGAAGTTCGTTCTTTTCTTCAGATGGCGCTGCAGTCTCTTTTGAAGCTCTCTTTCGTTTTTCCAGAAGAAGAATATGAATAGCGCCTCCTTGCGTGCGCAGATCGACTGCTGTTCATCAGCAGTTCGGGTTCGTTCAGTGTGGAGTTTTAGGTTGTTTTTTTATTTTAATGACCTATTGCCTTTCATTCTAAAGTCAAATTAAACGAAGAAAAAAATCACCCCTTCCTCCGGTAAAGGTTTTTTGTCAGCGTATCTATTTTTAAAAAGCGTTCTTACAAAATTTATAAAAAGACTTGCTAGTTTCAATTTCATTTTTTAAAACACAAGTAGGGTAACTCTGTTCGCAAAGGGTGCGCATTTGTGAAGAGGGCGCCACCGAAATTTGAGGACACTTTTTTAATTGGCTCAAATTGGCCCCTCTTGCTATGAAGACTCTTTGATATAACTTAAATTAGTAGTGGCGGGCAAATAGTTGTCGTGTGTGGCCCTCATGGGAACACGTAATATGTGACCCTTGTGGCCCTTTTCGGGAAACCTCATTTCCACATGCCTGATTTATAAAGAAGAGGAAAGACAAACGAAATAAAACAATCAACAAATGTGAGGCAGCGTGGTGGAATCAGGCGCTCGTCAAAATAATCAAAGTGAAGAAACTGGCATTTTCCCACAGGTTTATGAATTTTTATCGAATTTTCGTTTTTTGGCTCAACACCTTTAATGTTTCATGCCAATTAAAGAAAACATTTCTGTGTGGATTTTACCGAAAAACGTTGATTAAAGGCACAAAAAAATTTAATTTTCAGTTTCCACAGACTCTCAAGCTAAGGAAATAACTCATCTTTGGTGGCCATTTTCTCACTAATTTTACCTCTGAAACCAGGTGACCCCATCTCCTTCAGCCGCAAATATCTCGACTTCTATTCAACATAAATGGATATTTTTTTTCACCAAAAGCAAGACAAATGAACAAGCTTTAAGATGATATACATGCCCAAAAATTGACGAGCGCCTGATTCCACCATGTCGTGACACAAATATAAGAAAACAAATACAAAAAGAAAACCAAACAAAAACAAAACAAAAGAAAAAACAAAACAAATCCCCCCAAAAACAGTGCAAAAGTTGTATTTTTCGACAGAACTTACATCACTGACAATGGTCTTTTCAGCATTCTTAGGGTGGTAAACAAACTGGCCAGCTTCACAGAAGGTGGTCAAGTTGTGACCGTCGGAGAAATGTTCCACGCTGGAGCATTTGTGGCTTTCAATACTCAGCAGCTGACTGTAGCCCTGGGCCCCAGTGAGTGTGAATGTCGCGTTGACCTCCTCTGTGGGGGGAAGAGAGGAATTAGAATTGAGTCTGAGTTAACAGAAGCAAAGCAACAAAATAACCGTCCTTCACAGCAGGGAAACAAAAGCACAGACAGACATTAAACTTTTTTTTTTTTTACATTCCCATCCACACAATTGAGGTAACTAAGAATGTGTGCAGGCCGCTTTTATTGCGCCTGTTTCGGCCAACGTGGGCTGTCAAGGACACAATGTCACAGCATACAGAAAAAAATACATGCACAAGGGCTCTATGACAAAAAAACCCTCCCCACACAGAAATCCAACTCAAGGTTAAGAGCTGCAGTGGAAACTATTTATTTTGTTTTGTTTTAGTAGAGGTTTTACAGCGCTCGCAACTGCATAAGGTCATATGAGCACCAGGGGAGAGGGAGGAGGTTGGTCAACTCCTTGAGAAGGCATATTTTGGTCAGTAAACAACGCATACAAATGCTGTTTTTGGGCATAACTTCATTACACAAGCAGATGTTTTGATTTTGTTTTCTTCAGGTATCTGAAACTTTATAAAGTGTGGAATAGCATGTGCGCTACTGAACATGCAAAACTCTTTGTTTCTGATTGTGTATGCTGGTTTGAAATGTGTCAAAGTGTTGCCTTTGCTGTGCTGCTTATCAGACATATGTATCCGCTACGTCCTCAAAGAGTTACATGAAAAAGCCTAACAATAGAACCTAGCCCCGCGTGCAGAGCATAGTCTATCCCGGCCTGTGGATAACAACGAGCCCACGAGTAAATGTGGTGTAAACGCACCTTAAGAATAGAAGAACATGTAGCGTGAACACACCTTAATAATAATTATTGTGACGTAGGCCTAAGGGACGTATCACGTGACTGTGATTTCGTGCAAGCGGCGGGAAATCTGAAGGTCACTCTCTCACTGAAGCTGAAGCGAGTAACATCGGCTAACGAAGAACTGGCAGACGACCAGCAGGTGGGGCCCCCAACAACATCAACTATCATCCAGATCTACTACTCCAAGACTCAAGTAAGTCGTAACATAACAATACATATGCTGGACTTGTCCATGCCCCTTGCATATTTCTGAGAATTTGATTTAACAGGGATCTGTTATAACAGGGATTTTTTTCGGGTCTCAGGATCCCTGTTATATCAGGCTTCTACTGTATTAGGAATATATTTATACAACAATGATAAAATTGAATAGCATTTGCATTCGCATATCCCCGCTCACCAGCATACTCTACGCACTTTTACACTCTATAGTATTACCCCAGAATCCCTTAGAACACTCAAAAGCACTCTTGGCTTGCTGGGAAACAGTCAATTAAGTGCTCAAATACTAACAAACTCACTAGATATTTCGCCGTCTATGGGTGGGTACCCATTCCCACCTGGGTGAAGTGTGGAAAATTCATGTTAAGTAATGCGCTTTTCCAAGGACACAATGTCGGGCCCCTGACGTGGTTTGAACCCCTGACCTTGCGATCGATTGCAAACTCATCAGCCTGATCACAAGATCACAAATGCCTCAAATTTTTAAAATATTTCAACCCACAATGGAACCCACACGTAGACCTACCTGTTGATTTTTCGATTGATTGAGTAGGTGATTTACGGCACTATCGACTCAATTTTGGTCATTTAAGCGCCAATAGGTTTCACCGTAACAAATCTAAGATCATGTCATGTTTTAGTAAAAGTTTTTCGGCGTTCGCAACAGCCCATGGTCATATTATCATCAACATGCTAAAAGGACGGACAGACATTTATGAAAATTGTTGTAAATATGGTAAAGACTTATATACATTTGTATTTACAATATTAATTTCAGTGTATATACATACACAGTGTATGTATATACACTGACAACAATAACTATATATTTTTATATCCTATTAAACAGTCCTATTTCTTTAACATATAGATATCTTAAAATTTTTCTCGGGTTAACAACATCAAAAAGAGTGTCGACATCTTAACATTTAAAATATTTTAGGCCTACCTGTGACGGAGAGATTGCCGGGGACACACGAGTGCGGCACCCCCATGCCGTGGAAAGCCATGACGACATGGTTGAACACCAGGAGGATGTAGGTACAGGACAGCAAGATCAGCATGCTCATCTGGTAGCGGCCACGCTCACCCAGGGAGGAGAGCAGAGTCTCCAAGCCGTCCAATCTGCCAGACATCCTCAGCGGGACAGGTGGTGGGAAAGCTTGAGGTAGCTTAAAAACGGCTTACCGTGAAAATCAGGAGCAAAGGCAGCTTTCTGTGGGGTGATTTTCACCAGACGAATCTGAAGAGTTGATAAAATTGAACCTCGTTTGAATGACAAGACTGGTGTGATATGAGTTTTGCCTTTTAAAAAATTGTAGTTGTTTTACACCCTAATCAATTAGTTTGTTAATGTTATGCTGGATTATGGAGTGGGTGGTCCTGGTTCGAATCCTTGACTTGACATTCTTGATTTGGGTCATTTTGAGGAGTTTTCACAGCTCTCCACCCATTGACTCAATCTTTTTGGAGATGGACATTAAACTCCGTTGATTGTTTTAGCAAGGTTTTACTGCGCTCACAACAGAAGTCCAAACAAGGAATCAGGCTTTCTCAGCTCATCTCTCTAGCCTTAACAGCACAAAGTCTGCTTCGAATATCAAGGCACCTGAGAAATAACAGTTCACTAGAGAGTGACAGATATACAAAAGAAATAGAGGGAAAAGGACGCTAGTAATGAAAGAAAAAGCAGCAGTTCCCCTATGTTGTTTCGGCACAGCGGGAGCATGACATTGAAAAAAACAGCCCATTTACAACTCTACTGTGCATTAGACATCAGGAAAACTGCTGCAACGGCATGATGTTGCGCTCTCTCTCTCTCTC